AAGAACTCCTCAGACTCGCATTAAGCATGCTAATTGCCAGACATTAAATGCTAATTGCCCCGTGCGCAATTGGAATGCCAAGGCGGGGAGATGGCACCGGCTGGCGTCGGGCCTGCCCGACACAATGTCGGGACTGTCTCTGACGGGACGCTCTGCAGCCCCCACCTGGAGCGGGAGCTCCGACCCTTGTCTGAAGCCAGGCCCAGGCCCAGTGCGGCTCCTGAGCCTCAAGCCTTGGAGCAGTGCAGCTTGGGCTCTCCGGGCTCCTTTGGAGGGGGAGACAAGCAGAAGCAGGCAATGCGTGGCCAGCCGACAGCCCCCATAGTTATTCAGTGAAGGATCACCGTGACTAAAACGGAGTCACTCCAGGCCTGCCTGCGCCAGCCTGCACTTCCTCTGGGTTAGAGTTGACGGTGGGTTTGTCTGTGCCCTGGGCCAGGAGGCTAAGGCTGTGTCTGGAGATGGCGGGGCCTGCATGATGGCTTGTGTCAGGATGGCAGATGGCCGAGTCCATTCCATTCTCCAGGGTGTGTGTGTGTCTCAAGCACGGAGGGGAAGTGACATCCTTGCCCTCGTGTTGAGCAGCAAGCCCTGGCTTTGCATCCTGGTTAGTGTTAGTGTGCAGGAGATAATGCACATCTTTCAGGTTGAAGAAAACAAGTCTTCTTGCAAGTACAAACAGTCCCCTCAGGAAAGATCACCAGAAGGCACCAGGGACTGGTAGCTCACGGATGTCATCCTAGCTACTCAGGAAGCTGAGATCTGAGGATCACACAGTTCAAAGCCAATCTGGGGAGGAAAAAAAAAAAAAAAAACAACCTACCAAAAAAAAAAAAAACAAAACAAAACAACCCAAACAGATGACATTGAACTGTGGCTCAAGTGGTAAAGCACTAGCTTTGAGCTTAGGGACAGCACCCAGGCCCTGAGTTCAATTCCCAGGACCAGCACCAAAAAACCACCAGCCAAAGCCTCACTGTAGAATTCATTTATTCAGTCAGGGAAGAGAGGGGCAGAGATGGGCGTGGAACAGTCCTCCCTGTCAGAGTGTGCACACGTGACCTGCAGTGGGGGAGGGGGGCAAGCCCCTAAGAAGCGTCCACACAGTAAGGGCTCATATGTGGGCAGGTTGGTTTGGAACTTTTTTTGGTTCTGGGGCTAGAACTCAGGGGCTGGGCACTGTCCTTGAGCTTTCTGCTCAAGGTTAGTACTCTACCATTTTGAGCCACAATTCCACATCCAGGATGGAAAAAAAATAATGTATTCTTTACCTGACTTATAAGTCCTCTGACATCACCTTTATAATAATAAAAAGAAAAATGAAGAAAGTCTCACGTTTTCCTGGCTGGCTCTGAATGGCAATCCTCAGATCTCAGCCTCCTGAGTAGCTAGGATTACAGGTGTGAACCACCAGCACCCAGCTGGTTTAGAACTCTTGATCCTCCAGTCTTTGCCTTTTCACACCTGGCATTGTAAGTGTGAATCATCACCCTGGCTTTTCCTTTTTTTGGTTATTGAGCTTGAACTAAGGACTGTCCCTGAGTTTTGTGCTCAAGATTAGTGCTCTACCACTTTGAGCCACAGCACCACTTCTGGGTTTCTGGTGGTTAATCAGAGATAGTATCGTGGATTTTCCTGTCCAGGCTGGCTTTAGATCTTGATTCTCAGATGTCAGCCTCCTGAGTAGCCACAGGTGCCCAGCTTGGGTAATATTCTTTAAAAGAGGTTAGGCGGGCATTCTCCCAGCTGATTGGAATGAAAATACAATGAACAGCTGGAGCTATGGCAGCTGGCCCATGAAGTGGAAGACCTATGTTCAAGCTGATGGTACAGCAACAAGACAGGAGACAGGAGTCATTATCTTAGCTGGACTAACTGTTTACAAAAGGAGCAAGTATTCTTTTTTTTTTTTTGGTCTGGTCGTGGGGCCTGAACTCTGGGCCTGAGTGCTGTCCCTCAGCTCTTCAGCTCAAGGCTAGCGCTCTACCACTTGAGCCACAGCACCACTTCCGGCTGTTTCCTTTTTGCTTATGTGGTACTGAGGAATCGAACCCAGGGCCTCAGGCAAGCAAGGCAAGCGCTCTACCACTGAGCCACCTTCCCAGCCCCCGCAAGTATTCTTAAAAGTCACAGAGTTTGGCTTTTCTGTCACTTTCAACCAGACTTGTCCTAATACCACCTTACCACCTGTCAGGACAGGGTACTCCTCTGCTGTTCTACCTCACAAGGAATTAGCTCACAGGAAATTTGATTTAGCCTGGGTGTCTTCATTCTCCCTCCTACAGTCAGCCAGCCTTGCCTGGCATGTACTATCCTGGACTCTATCTCCAGTACTGTAATAAGTGAGAAGATATTCTGTGCCTTCATGATTCAATAGTTCACCTCAAGATTAGAATAAAATGGAATTCTAAAGAAATAATCAGGGGGGCTGGGAAGGTGGCTCAGTGGTAGAGCGCTTGCCTTGCATGCATGAGGCTCTGGGTTCGATTCCTCAGCACCACATAAACGAAAAGAAAAAAAAAAGCCGGAAGTGGCACTGTGGCTCAAGTGGTAGAGTGCTAGCCTTGAGCTGAAGAGCTGAGGGACAGCACCCAGGCCCAGAGTTCAGGCCCCACGACCAGATCCAAAAAAAAAAAAATCAGGGCTGGGAAGGTGGCTCAGTGGTAGAGTGCTTGCCTTGCATGCATGAGGCCCTGGGTTCGATTCTTTAGCACCACATAAGCAGAAAAAGCCGGAAGTGGCGCAGTGGCTCAAGTGGTAGAGGGCTAACCTTGAGCTGAAGAGCTGAGGGACAGCGCCCAGGCCCAGAGTTCAGGCCCACAACCGACCAAAAAAAAAAAAAAAAAAAAACCCAAAAAACAAAATAAAACAACAACAACAAAAAACCAAGAAATAATCAGAGACTAGGTCACAGATTTACCTAAAGTTCAGTGGAGGATCATGAATAACAGATGATGCCAACCGTAGTGGCTCACGTCTGTAATCTCAGCCCTCAGGAGGCTAAGGCAGTGGATCATGAATCTGAGCCAGCAGCCTGGACTACATAAGACCTTGCCTCAGGAAAATATGTACCCATTACTGGTACATAAGAAAAAAAGGAAGAAAATTAAGGAAAGGAAACAAAGAAGCCTGAAGTTGGTGTCTTACATCTGTAATCCCAGTTACTCAGGAGGCTGAGATCTGAGGATGGAGGTTCAAAGCCAGCCCACGCAGGAAAGTCTATGTGACTCATCTCCAATTAACTACTGAAAAACTGGAAGTAGAGTTGTGGCTCAAGTGGTAAAACACTAGCAAAAGCTAAGAGATAGGACTCAGGCCTGGAGTTAAAGCCCCTGTACTGGCAAAAAGAAGGTCAAAGGAAATCCATATGCTAAATCACAGGAGTTGAATTAAAATAAATTTTAGAATGATAGAGGTATAAACTTTATTTTGGTATTAGAAAGTTTAACATCTTGTTTTGTGGTGCTAGGAATGGAACCCATGACCTCCTGGGTGCCAGGCTAGTGCTCTGCCATGGAGCCACAGTCCTGGCCCTTCTTTGTTCTCTGGCCAGTCCTGGGGCTTGAACTCAGGGCCTAGGCACTGCCCCTGGGCTTTTGTGCTTAAGGATAGTACTCTATCACTTCAGTCACAACTCTACTTTTGGCTTTTTGTGGTTAGTCGGAGATAAGAGTCTCATGGGATTTCCTGTCTGGGATGATAGCTAGGTTTACAGGTGTGAGACACCTTTTTTTTCCCCCTCCTTTTCAGGCCTGGGCAAATGTCCCTGAGCTAGCACTCTACCACTTGAGCCACAGTGCCACTTCTAAGCCTTTTCTGTTTATGTGGTAATGAGGAATCGAACCCAGGGTTTCATGCATGCTAGACAAGCATGCTACTACTAAGCCACATTCCCAGCCCAACTCCAGTCCTTCTTTAAAATCATCTCTAGATTCATTGCAACAGCTATTATGTAAATAGTTGTGCAGATCCAATCACAACTATTTGGTTGAATCCACACTGTGGAACCAATTATAGTTACATCTCTACACAGTAAAAAGCGTGAAAAAAATACACTGCAGTGGTAAAAGGTTGTCTCCATGTGGATTATGGGTAATTGTTGGTACTTTTCTGTCTCTCCCATTTCTTTTTTTTTTTTGTCAGTCATGGGGCCTGAACTCTGGGCCTGGGCGCTGTCCCTCAGCTCTTCAGCTCAAAGCTAGCGATCTACTACTTGAGCCACAGTGCCAATTCTGGCTTTTTCTGCTTATGTGGTGCTGAGGAATCGAACCCAGGGCCTCATGCATGCAAGGAAAGCGCTCTACCACTGAGCCACCTTCCCAGCCCCCAGCTCCCATTTCTTACAATGAGGATGTAGCAGCCTGCCACTGAGCATATCCCCAGGCCCCAAAGTTTTTTTTCTTTTTTTCTGGCCAGTCCTGGGGCTTGAACTCAGGGCCTGGCCACTGTCCCTGAGTTTTTTTTTTGCTCAAGGCTAGCGCTCTACCACTTGAGCCACAGTGCCATTTCTGGTCTTTTCTGTTTATGTGGTACTGAGGAACTGAACCCAGGGCTTCAAGTGTTAGGCAAGCACTCTACCACTAAGCCACGTTCCCAGCCCCCAAAGGTTTTCTCCTGGATTATTTTCCCAGTCAGAGTGGTGGTACACTTCTGTAATTCCAGCGGCAGGAGATAAAGGCAGGAGGATTCAGATTTCAAGGCCAGCCTGGGATATATTGAGATAGTCTCAAAAGAAAAGCGTGAGATGAAGGAGTAGAGACAAGCCCTCAGGGACCATGGCTGTGCCCCAGGCATGCAGTTCCTCTTCCCAGCAGCCCCGTTACCCCACGGCCCCCACACAAGATGTACCTCACTGTGGGCCACAGGACGTTCCCCCTTGCACCTCCTTGAGCAGGCCCGGGCTCTCTCTAGCACCCCGCATCCCACGGTGCAAACACCTCAGATACAGGGCAGGACTGCTGCGGTGGCAGCAAAGCAAAGCCAGGACACCTTTCTTCTGGTAGGAATTAGTTTTACTGGTTTAAAAACAAGTCTGTACAAAATGGCAGCGGTGGGCAGAGCTGTCCTGGGGCTCGGGGCTCCTCCGTCACTATCTCTTTGGCCAGTTGTACCGGAAGCCTCTGCAGAGACAGTGGGGAGTCAGTCACCTCTGCATGCTGCTGTACAGAGCTCAGTAAAGCAGAACAGAGGAGTTTGCTCAAGGCTCTGGGAGGGCTGAGCAGACTGAGTCTGAAGGCAGTGATCCCCTAAACCATGCCATACCTCCCGCTTCACACTGTTCTAGCATGAGGATTTCATACTGTTCATGAACATTCATTCTTCAACAATGGCGACCACGCATGCCTACTGGTTTTTCTCACAATCCCAAAGCTGCTCAGCTGCAGTCTACCAGGGTGCAGAGCAGGGTGGGCTTTCCCATGGGTGCCCTGGCTACCACCACATACCTGTCTGATTTTCCAGTTGGAAAGGACATGCTTTTGTTTCCCATTGATTGCTTAACTTTCTTGGCTGCAATACATTTCTGAAAAGCAAGCAGAACCATTTAAACTGGATGACACTGTCTGGACACATGGAAAAGCAGCGCTGAGCTCCCGCAGCCAGGCATCTGGGCACGTGGAAAGGCAAGGGTGCGATGAGGACCAGAGGCCCCATCAGCCCTGACTGGCCAGGTGCCAGGGGGAAGACCCAGGCCACGCCAGCGATAGAACTGCTTTCAGCCTCTGGCCAGAATTCCCAAGCAGCAAACAGAAAAGTGGCCTTTAAGACGGCTTTCCTGGACTGCTGGGTGGCCAATGTGCTGTCTACACCTGGGAGGAAATGAGTGAGAGGAGAGTCACAAAGGAGGATTCCTAGACCCAGCTTCTCAGCCAAGGAAGGGATCAAAAGCAACCTACGTGGAGAAGTGGATCAAGTGGTAGATGCCAAGCACCTGAGTTCAACCTTTTTTTTTTGTTTCCTGCCAAGAAACAAACAAAAAAACCTTCCAAGCCCAGCTAGATGCTGCAGACCTTCCTTACCTTGCCAGACCCTGCGGGCTTGTTTGGGTCAAACTGGGAGGAAGGCTTGCATTTGCTGTCTCCTGCAGGAAGAGCCAAGAGGTGGTGATCAATCACTGAGCTGACAAATCTCCCTGGGTGCCAGGCCAGGGGGCTGTCCAGGGGGCAAGCTCTGAACACATTTGTGCCCTGGTCATCAGGAGCAGGAGTGTGCTTGTGCAACAAGCAGTGGGATGCTGGCAACAGTGATGGGCTCCGTACAGAGCTCCAGTGGCATGGCCCCACCTTGCTTCCCAAGCCTCCTAGGCTGCCTGGGTCCAGAAGTGTCTGCAGTCAGGGGCACCATGTACAGCCCTGTAGCACCCACGCCATTCTCCCTTCTGTGTGGGGGCAGGGGCACCCTGCTAAGCCAGAGCTAGTTCTGGGGCACTGTGGACTTCTGTTCCTGCCTCTGACTGGTACAGTATCTGCGAGTGAGCCTGCAGCAGCTGGCACAGCCAGGCGTCTTGGCCTAGGGGCCAGGCCTCACCAGCAAAAGCCTTGAAGTCCGACTGGCTGTAGTCGTAGGGAGTGAAGGTGCTGGGTGCTGGGTCTGGGCCCTTGAGCTTCTTGGCGGTTTTGAGTCGTTTCTTCTCCTGTCTCTGCTCTGTGGTCCTGGTGTCACCAGTGGTTCTCTCCCTCTTCTTAGCGTTTTCCAGCTGCAGGGGGAGGACATGCAAGGAGGGAGGCAGGGACCATGTGAGTGAAGTGGGGAGGCCACACCTCCAGATAAACAATTCATCCACAGCACGGAGGCGATGATTTCAGCTCCTTCTGCATTTTAGGGGCTTTGCGTGTATATATATATATGTATGTATGTATGTATGTATGTATATACATGAGGTATCTTAGGAAAGGACCCCATTCTAAATCACAAATCACTTATGCTTCAGCTACGTCTAGGCCACAAAGCCTAAGCTGTGTCTATTCAACATTTTTTCTTATTCATCAGTCCTGGGACTTGAATTCTGGCCTGGGTGCAGTTCCTGAGCCTCTCTGTGCTTAAGGAGATCACACTACCATTTGGGCTACAGTGCCACTTCTGGCCTTTTCTGTTTATGTGGTGCTGAGGAATTGAACCCAGGGCTTCATGCATGCTAGGCAAGCACTCTACCACTAAGCCACATTCCCAGTCCTATACAGTATTTTTTAAAAGTAATGTTGTACATGAAATAAGGTTTCAAAGTGTGGAGTTTTCTACTTGTGTCAGTGCTCACAAAGTGTTGGGATGTTGGAGCACTTAGGCTTTTGGCTATCAAGACCCTAAATGGAGGTGCAACCTTGACTGCCTGGGGCCTAGCTGCTTCAGATGTAGGGAGATGAGCTGGCTGCCAGTGGCTGCCAGCTGCAATTCTAGCTACTGGGAAGGCTGAGATCCAGAAGATTGCAATTCAAAGCCAACCTGGACAGAAAAATGTTTTAACTTTCTAAGAAGAACCAGCAAGCCCAGCACCTGTGGCTCCTGTCTGTAACCCTAGGTACTCAGGAGGCTGAAATATGAGACACTTGGTTTGAACATAGCCTAAGAAGACAACTCATCAAGATTATTATGTGATTAAGCAGCAAAAGCTGGAACTGGAGCTATGAATCAGGTGCTAGAGAGCCAGCTATGTGCTAAAAAGCGGAGCAAGAATGTGAGGTCCTGAGTTCAAGCCCTGGTACTGGAAAAAAACAACCAAAAAAGCCCCAGCAGCATAAAGCTAGACAAGATGTGGCTCAAGTGGTAGAACACCAACCTAGCAAACAAGCCAAAAAAGCATGGCCCTGAGTTTAAAAGCAGTATTGGCAAAAAAGAAAAAAAAACATTTTGAAGGTGGAGATGGGGCGGAGCCATGGCCTGTGCCAGCTGGAGCAGGTTTTTCTTTTTTTGTACTGGGCTTGAACTCAGGGCCTCCTGCTCATGCTCAGCTTTCTTGCTCATGGCTGGCACTCTGCCACTTGAGCCGTACCTGGAGCAGATATTTTTCTTTTTCCCTTTTTTTGGCTGGTGCTAGGGCATGAACTCTGGGCCTGGGCACTGTCCCTGAGGTTCTTTTGCTACCATGTTAGCCACAGTGCAATTCCTGGCTTTTTCTGAGTGGTTTATTGGAGAGGAGTCTCATGGACTTCACCGCCCAGGCTGGATTCAAACCACAATCCTCAAATCTCAGCCTCCAGAGTCGCTAGGATTCCAGGTGTGAGCCACTGGCACCCGGCTCTGAAGCAGGTTTCTAACTGGACAATGGACAACTTAAGAGGAGCAGGGGTTAAGGAGAGAACTCCAGAGGCTGAGGGCAACAAGAACCAAGTGTTGCTTCAATGCCTGTTCCTGTTGTGTGGCAGTCAAGTGTTGCTGGGTTCACCACACACAGAAAAGACGTCCTCTGGGGGAACCGCCGGGGAAATGAGGCGAGCACTGAGGGACAAGCCAGGGCAAACTGGAGCAAGGCCAAGGACAATGTGAGGGACAGGGCAGATCCTCCTGAGCCAGCCAAGGGGACGCTCAGCCAGGACCCAGCATCCATACATACCACAGTCTGCTGTCGCACAGAGATGGCCTGCTCTGCTGTGGCTCTGTACTCTTCTTTCGCCTGTTCCTGGGCCGCTGCAAGACACAGGGTTTGTGGAGTTGCTGCTCAATCCCCAGCCTGCCTGCACCCACCCCTGGCACCCCATATTGACATGCATGCTTCAGGGGCTCTGTCCTGCCTGTCCTCAATCTGGGAGCCACACCAGGTCCCGCTCAGCCTCCCTGCCACCACTCTGAGGATGGCGGGCAGGTGTCCCAGCCCTGTGTCAGGGACCAGGACCCAAGTCTCCTCCCCACCCAACCAGCTCCCAGACCACCTCCCTCGGATGCGGATACCCCATCCTCCCGCTGCTCAGGACAGGCCGTGTGCAGCCAGCTCTATGCTGCCCTCCAGTGTGTTCCCCTGGGCTCTGGTCCTATCTCCAGACCAGGCTCTCCCCCTTGTAATTCATCAGTTCTCTACACAACAGAGAGATGGCCTGGAGATAATGAGTTCAGGTCCCCAACTCAGTAAAGGCAGTCCTCACACAGGCCTGGCCTGCTCTTTTCCCCACCCCCTTTCCATTCAGTCCCTAGGCCACCTTGCCACATCTTGGGACCCCAGCTAGGGCCTTGAGCCTCAGCCACCAGTGCAGATGTCTTCACGCAGCTGGCTGTGTCTCTGTCCAATGTCGTTTGTAAGACCGTCACTCCCACCCATGCCAGTCTTCACCAGAGCGCACTTAAGCACGCCCCACCCCTCTTTCCAAGTATTACCGCCTGCTTCGGGGCTCTGCCTGCCATTCCCCAGAAGGCAAGCTCCCCAGGGCTAGGGTAGGCTGTGCTGCGTACTGCTGTGTCTGGCACTGCTGAATGGCTCAATCAACAACATGCGCCAGGCCGCCCTTCTGCACACACGCAAGAATGGCACATTACCTGTCTGCTCAGCTGCCTTCTTCTTGGCAGTGTCTTTAGATTCTTTTCGGACCTGGGCCTGCTTGGCAAGCTTCCAACGGTTGCTGATCTAAAATTAGAAAGCACAGGATCATGTCCTCCATAGCTGCTGGGCATGGTGGTGATGGTGGGAAACAACTTACACACACACACACACCATGCCCACGTGCATACATGCGCAAGCCCTCAGTTCCAGCTTCTGGCTGGTTTGGTTTATAAGTGCTTGTAGAGAAGGATACAGTACCAGGGTGCCCAAGCCATGGGTAAAGGCTTCCACATGTAGTATCTCATCCAACCCCCTCTGGACCCTGGGACAAAGGTGTCACCATCAGCCCGAGCTGGTGACTCATGCCTGTAATCCTTAGCTACTCAGGAGGCTGAGATCTGAGGATCTCAATTCAAAGCCAGCCTGGGCAGGAAAGTCCGTGAGACTCTTATCTCCAATTAACCACCAGAAAACTGGAAGTGGTGCTGTGGCTCAAGTGGTAGAGTGCTCGCCTTGAGATGGAAAGCCCAGAGTTCAAGCCCAGGACTGACAAAAAAAAAGGGGGGCGGGCAGGAAGGTGGCTCGGTAGAGTGCTTGCCTTGCATGCATGAGGCCCTGGATTCGACTCCTAGCACCACATAAGCAGAAAAAGCCGGAGGTGGCACTGGGGCTCAAGTGCTAGAGCGCTAGCCTTGAGCCCAAGAGCTGAGAGACAGCGCCCAGGCCCAGAGTTCAGGCCCCATGACTGAAGGAAAAAAAAAAAAAGGTATCACCACCATCACCTTGCCCTTAGAGGGGAGGAGACAAGTAGAGAAGGTCCAATAACTTGCCCAAGTGACAGGGCTGGTAACCAGGGACTCAGGGCAGGCCTCTTCCCCAGTCTTGCTTGCCTTTTATTTTTTGGGGGGTTGGGGGTGATCATGCTTGCAAAGCAGAGAAGCACTGCCACTTGAGCCACGGCCCCAGCTCCCATGCTTTTCTTTGCAGCCACCGTGGCAAGCGAGCAGAGTAAAGGATGGACAGATTGTTCCGCACACCATAAGCGGCCGGCAAAGACAAACCACACTTCTCAGATCAGCACGGAGCCAAGGCCCGTCAAGGCATCGTATCACCATGGCAGGACATGCTGCTGGGCGGAGGGAAGCTTCCAGGCAAGCTGCCCCCCTGGCACACAGCCTGGCACAGGGCCTGGCACAGGGCCCGCACCAGGGGAGAGCAGGTCTTAGTTGTTGTGCTAACTAACAACTTAGCAAGGAACGTAAGACTGTTTCCAAACTTGAGCTGTCATTTTAAGAGCTTTAAAGAGACATCAAACCATTATCTCTGTCCTGTATCACATAATAAAAGTTAAGTTAATAAAAAGTAAACTATTTTTGTGGTTCTGGATTTGAACCCAGGTCCTTATACATGCTAGACAAGTACCCCGCACATCCTGAGCCCTGCCCCAGCCTTAATAAAGCCTCTTTCTCAGAGGTTCCTGAGTGGGGTAGGAAGCCCACTGTGGAGTTCTTCCCCTAGTCTAGAAGCAATGCTTAGGAGGAAGGGGCCTTTGTGTCCACTTTTGCGGGTCTGTAAGGATCTGAAGCCCACCACTCAGAGCCTGCTGAGGACAGAAACCTGGTCCAATCTTTCAGCACCCTTCCCTTAAAAAGCCAGTCTTGGGACAAGTGGCAAATCCACTTACTTCATAGATTTTTGAGGATGGGTCAAACTTGGCGGTCTGGGAGATGTGGGCCCGGTGTTCCAGTGATGGCAGGAACTGCGGAGGAAACAGCAAATGCAGAGAGATGGCACCTGGACCCAGGCGGGGGCAAGCACATGGGCCTGGGTGGGTACTGAGGCTGCTGTGGGCCCATGGCTCAAGATGAAGGTCACACTGGCCTCCAGCTCCTCTTCCTGAAAGACTGCAGCCCCCCAGCCTCGCGCAGACTACTCACCATCCTAAACGGGTTTTCAAAGGATTCCATTATGTTCTGTGCCTTTTTCTGGGCAACTGTCAATGGAGTCTTTCCATTTTCCTCAGCACTAGGTTCCTGCAGGGAAAGATGAAAGCCCCTCATTTGTAAAATTATTACCATGGACAATATGACATCAGAATGCAAGCAAGACAGTAGCGGTACTTCAATAACAGTGGCTCTGTTTCTCAAGCTCTCCTGGGCTCAAACAATTCAGTAGTAGTGAAACAACATTTGTTGTTGTTGTTGGTTGTGGGGCTTGAACTCAGGGCCTGAGCACTGTTCCTGAGCTTGTCAGCTCAAGACTAGTGCTCTACCACTTTGAGCTACAGCATCACTGCCAATTTTCTGGAGTTAATTGATGAGTCTCATGAACCTTCTTAAGACAGATCTCAGCCTCCTGAGTAGCCAGGATTACAGGCATGAGCCACTGACACCTGGCCCAACATTTTCTTTTTTTAAACAATATTTAATTAAGGAATTCTCACTATGTTCTCATCATCCTGCAGCCTCTTACTGAGGCTTGAAAGGTCATGTGTCTCATGGCTACAGGAGAACAAGGACTTAAACCCTGGTCCACTCTGCCACAAGAGCCTGATATCAGAATTATAGACCTGGATGGACAATCAGAAAAATGACGCAACAAAGCTGCTTCATAAACCTGTGTTATCTTTTTACTCTGCACCCAAGTTTGCCGGCAACAGAGGAGAGGGAAACTACAGTCTCCTTCAGACTGAACTGCCCTCCCCTCAAGGCGGCCTGAAGTCTACACTGGCTGCAGCTGCAGTCACCTTCACAGCTTCTGCTAACACTGAGGTCAGGTGAGCTTCCTAGACTGTTTTCTCATGAATTGCCAAAGCATGACCCCAGCAGATTTATGTAATTCAGTTTTAAAAAGAAAGTAATGGGGGGGCTGGGAAGGTGGCTCAGTGGTAGAGTGCTCGTATTGCATGCATGAGGCCCTGGGTTCAATTCCTCAGCACCACATAAGCAGAAAAAGTCAGAAGTGATGCTGTGGCTCAAGAAGTAGAGCGCCAGCCTTGAGCTGAAGAGCTGAGGGACAGCACCCAGGCCCAGAGTTCAGGCCCCACGACCGACAAACACAAAAAAAAGAAAAAGGAAGTTATGGGATTGGAGGAGAGACTAAGGTGATAAAGAGTAGCAGCCAATGCATCCATGTACCTCCTCCCCCCAAAAAAAACAAAAAACAAAAAACGCTGAGGGCAAGTGGCTCAAACCTGTAATCCTAGCTACTCAGGAGGCTGAGATCTGAGGATCATGGTTCAAAGCCAGCCGGTAGGAAAGTCCATGAGACTTGTTTTGTCAGTCATGGCCTTGAACTCTGGGCCTGGGCGCTGCCCCTCAGCTCTTCAGCTCAAGGCGAACATTCCACCACTTGAGCCACAGCGCCACTTGCGGTTTTCTGACGGTTTATTGAAGAATCTCAGGGACTTTCCTGCCCAGGCTGCTTTGAACCATGATTCTCAGATCTCAGCCTCCTGAGTAGCTAGGATTACAGGTGTAAGCCACTGGCACCCAGCTCCATGAAACTTTTTTTTTTTTTTTTGGCCCGGTCATGGGGCCTGAACTCTGGGCCTGGGCGCTGTCCCTCAGCTCTTCAGCTCAAGGCTAGCGCTCTACCACTTGAGCCACAGCACCACTTCCGGCTTTTTTTCTTTTTGCTTATGTGGTGCTGAAGAATCGAACCCAGGGCCTCAGGCATGCAAGGCAAGCACTCTACCACTGAGCCACCTTCCCAGCCCTCCATGAAACTTTTAACTCCAATTAACCACCAAAATGCTAGAAGTGGAGCCATGGTTCAAATGGTAGAACTCTAGCCTTGAGCACAAGAGTTCAGGATTAGCACCTAGGCTCTGAATTAAAACCCAGGACCAGCACCAAAACAAAACAAAAAAAGTTAAAACGACAGTGATATTTCATTTCCACTATGTTGTCCTAACATTCTGGTATGGAGACATCCTCTAACCAACTGCTGTTTGCACCATCTGAATATTTACTGAGCGTAGTACCTCTGATCCAACATGGATAGTGTTCTTGCTTCTCTTTCTCAGTTCTGACAATTACTAGTTTTTCCTTCTCCCCACACTGGTCTGCATAGTCAGAACTTTATCTGTGCACTTTCCTTTCCCTTGGTATTTTAGTATTTACCTGCGCTGACCCACCAGTGCAAGCATACACAGAACGGCTAGAGTGGCCACTGCTGTCACAAAAGGCTGGGTTACGGCCAACATGCTTTCCAGGAATGTGGCTCAGCTCAGGAAAGCTCCTTGGGTGGGGATCAAGAATGGACATACAGGGCTGGGAAGGTGGCTCAGTGGTAGAGCGCTTGCCTTGCATGCATGAGGCCCTAGGTTTGATTCCTCAGCACCACATAAGCAGAAAAAACCGGAAGTGGCGCTGTGGCTCAAGTGGTAGAGTGCTAGCCTGGAGATGAAGAGCTGAGGGACAGCACCCAGGCCCAGAGTTCAGGCCCCATGATGAGCAAAAAACAAAACAAAAAAATGGACATACAGCCTCAACTGGGACCACTGCAGCCTCTTCCAGGTCGAGCACCAAGGATCTGCCCTTAGAGCCTGTCCGTGTTCCTCACTCTAAGCAGCCACAGCACAGAAAGCTTATCACCTAAAAATGTACGTGTGGCCAGCGAGGTCTGACGTGTGTGGTCGTGAAGCTCAGTGGACATCCTGTGCATTCTGCCCCTGTTGGGCACCCTTGCTGGGCAACTTGTCCCACAGGGTTTCTTCACATAACGCTGAACAGAAGCCCCTGCCATGTGTGCACACGCATGACCAGTAGCTCATCTCTCCACACGGACACTCCAGGCAGGCTGTCTGCCAGAGCCCCCTGCCCTAGGCCACTGTGGTGCTCTCGTGGCTTTCCTGCTACTCACACTGAACAAGGAGATCACGGCTGTAGCAAGGAGGCATTTGGTGTCCAGCAAGGTCTCCTCGGCAAAGAGGCTCGCCTCTTTCTGAGCCGGTTCAGAACCTAGAGGCACAGAAGGAAGCAGAGTCAAACCCTGAGGGCTCTGAGTGCAGCAGCTGGCCCTGCCTGCCAGTCCAGAGGGCTCCGCTTACCGCCACACGGGGGGACCAGGTAGTTTTCTGGGGGGGCATGGGAGCAGTCATGAGGTCCAAAAAGAACATTCTCCAATCTCTGCAAGGAGAAGCAGAAGAGCACATGTGAACTTCGTAGGCAGGCCATCAGGTTTGTGTACACCAGCGTGATGCCCCTCCCACAGGTGCGACAGCAGGGCAATGACGTACCTCAGCACTGGGCAGTGCTCCACTCTTCTTCATCCCAGCTGCGGCTTCAGACTAAGGAGGAAGGAAGGGGCAATGCAGGAAAGCTGTGTGAACTCGGTGGCACGTGCTCCCCGGCAGACTCCTCCACAAGGCTCGCAGGGACCCAGATGTCTTTCCATCCTCACATCCCTTCAGTGCCTGGCACTGCCATTTTGTGGTGCTCAAGAATTCCTTGGTGGCCGAACACGGTGCCTCACGCCTGTAATCCCAGCTACTTGGGAGGCAGAGATTGGGAGGATTGCAGTTCAGGCCAGCAGGGCAAAACGTCAGTAAGATTCCACCTCAAAAAAACACACGCTGCGTATGGGGGCACGCCTCTAATTCCAGCTCTACTGGGAGGCTGTGGCAGAAGCATTGCAGTCAAAAGTTGGCCCCCAGCAAAAAGCGATAGATCTGCTAGCTGAATATTCACTAAAGCAAAGCACACTGGGGGCTTGGCTAAAGTGGTAGAGTGACTGCCGAGTTCAAATTCCAGTACCACCAAAACCAAACCACTTGGTATATAAGAGCAGAGCTCTTTATGAAGAGAGAGTGACCTGAGGGCTTCCAAGGAGCTCAGATGTTCCTCCCTCCCTCCCTTCCCTCCTTCTTTCCCAGTCTAGGACTTGAACTTGGTATCTGATACTTTCACTAACTGGCTCCTGCTATACCAACTGACCCATGCCTCTAACCCCGTCATTTTTTTTGGTGGCGGGGGGGGGGGGGGGGCGCCAGTGTTGACTGCACTGAACAGAGCTTCATGTATGCTAGCAAACACTGAGCTACATTCCCAGTCCAGAAATACATTTTGAAATACAACTGCAAAGGTTTTTATTCCTACTTCATTTTCAATTATTTTGCTTTTTGTCAGTTGCAGGGCTTGAACTCAGGGCCTGGGCACTATCCCTGAACTCTTTTTCTCAAGGCTAGTGCTCTTCTACTTTGAGCCAGAGCTCCACTTTTAGTTTGCAAGCAGTTAATTGGAGATAAATCTTATGATTTTTCCTGCCCAGGCTGGGCTGGCTTTGAACTGTGATCCTCAGATCTCAGCCTCCTGAGTAGCTAGGATTGCAGGTGACCAGCACCCAGCTTCCTTTTCAATTCTTTCTGGGCCAAAAATCTTCCAAAAATTATGAATATGATTGACCATATATTGATATATCACTGCTAAACCAACACATTTGAAATATTGTAATAAAACATAAAACCAAGCCCAGGGGCTGGGAAGGTGGCCCAGTGGTAGAGTGCTTGCCTTGTTTGCATGAGGCCCTGGGTTCAATTCCTCAGCACCATACAAGCAGAAAAAGCCAGAAGTGGCGCTGTGGCTCAAGTGGTGGAGTGCTAACCTTGAGCTGAAGAGCGAGAGACAGTGCCCAGGCCCAGAGTTCAGGCCCCACGACTGACAAAAAAACAAAAACAAACAAACCAAGGCCAATATGACGGTTAACACCACTATCCCAGGACTTGGGAGGTGGAGGCAGAGGAGTATGAGTTAGAAGGCCAGTCTGGCACACATGAGTTTGAGGCCAGTCTGGGCTACCTTGTGGGACTTAGTCTAAAATACAAAAACAATAAAATGCACAACCTATAAGCTTTAGTTTAGAATCTGGACATGATATTTATTTGTATCTCTCTTGAGGTAATAGCATTAAATTTAATCAGCTATAAATGCTAAAAACAACATGTTGCATTCTATGTAATGATAGTATATTTATTACTAAATGTGTATGTTGGGGCTGGGCAGGTGGCTCAGTGGTAGAGCGCTTGCCTTGCATGCATGAAGCCCTGGGTTCCACATAAGCAAAAAAGAAAAAAGCTGGAAGTGGCGCTGTGGTAGAGTGCTAGCCTTGAAGAGCTGAGGGACAGCGCCCAGGCCCAGAGTTCAGGACTCCCCCCCCCCCAAATGTGTATATTAATAGCACAGGCAACAAAATGGTAAATATTAAAATATTTTCAAAAAATTAAAAAAAAATCACAAATCAAGAAAACACTTCCGTGGCGCTGTGGCTCAGGTGGTAGAACGCTAGCTTTGAGCTAAAGAGCTGAGGGATAGTGCCCAGGCCCAGAGTTCAGGGCCCACGACCGGACCCAAAAACAAAAACAACAACAAAAAAGAAAACACTTCCTTTATTTTATGGAATGAAGTGTTTGCTCAATGACATAATGGAAAGTAAAATCAGTGAAGATCTTTAAATAAAAGGGAAAATCCCCAAGGGATTCCCACCTTCACCTACATTTGTCTAAGCCTCAGCGCCTCCCACCCAGATCAGCCTTTCTCAACTTCTCTTCTCTTGCAGGCCTCTCCTTCCTTCTCTTCCCTCTGAGGTTTGCATTTGGGTGAGTGGCCTTGCATCGCACCTCCACAGTAGCTGCTGTCCAGGTGATGCCTCTACAGTCCGGCTCACCTTGACACAGCTTCCTATCTCCCATTCCTAAGCTCTGTGTGTGTGTGTGCGCACATGCGCGTGCGTGTGTTCTGGGGCTCAAGGCTAGTGCTCTACCACTTGCCACAGCTCCACTTCTGCTTTTTTTTTTTTTGGTAGTTTATTAGAGATAAGACTCTCCTGGAGCCGGGCGCTGGTGGCTCACGCGCTGGTGGCTCACGCCTGTAATCCTAGCTACTCAGGAGTCTGAGATCTGAGGATCGCGGTTCAAAGCCAGCCCAGGCAGGAGAGACCGTGAGACTCCCATCTCCAATAAACCACCAGAAAACCGGAAGTGGTGCTGTAGCTCAAGTGGTAGAGCACTCGCCTTGAGCTGAAGAGCTGAGGGACAGTGCCCAGGCCCAGAGTTCAAGCCCCACGACCGACCAAAAAAAAAAAAAAAAAGACTCTCCTGGCTTTTCCTGCATAGGCTGGATTTGAACCATGATCTACAGATCTCAGACTCCTGAGTAGCTGGGATAACAGGCATGAGCCACCAGCACCTGGCCTCACTGGCCTTTTCTTCTGATTCTTTCTGTGTTTGCCTCAACCCTCTGTTAGGATGTGTTGGCAGTGTGATCACTTTATGCCAGATCACTGCTGGTTTCCAGGGTGAACTCTCTATCCCTGGATCCCTACTCCAACTCAATCCACTGGGTTAACTGATCCCAACAATTGGCTTGGCCACTAGATGTTACCTGCTCAAGTAAAGATCATAAAATAAGAAGGATGTTTTCTAGCTCCTCCCTACACTATTTTTTGTGCTGGTAGTGGAGCTTGACTTCTGGGCCTCGTGCTCTCACTTGACTTTTTCACCCAAGGCTGGTATCCCAACACTTGAGCCACACCTCCACTTTTGATTTTTGCGTACTTAACTGATCAAGCTGGCTTCAAACTATGATATTCAGCTAAAATTATAGGCGTGAGTCACTGGTGCTGCCAAATTTTACTTCTTGACTATCATACAGAATTGCAGGGGATGGGGTTATAACTTAGTGGTAGAGTGCGTCTGCCATGTGGAGGCTGACTTCAAACCAAGCCCTATACAGCAATGACAGCAACAAGCAGCAGCGTAACAGCAGCTAAATCCAGGAAGACCCACCCACAAAATTTCAAGTCCCAGGACTCCCTTCATTTTATTATTTGGTCGGTCGTGGGGCTTGAACTCTGGGCTTGGGCGCTGTCCCTCAGCTCTTCAGCCCAAGGCAAGCGCTCCACCACATGAGCTACAGTGCCACTTCCAGTTTTCTGGTGGTTTATTTGAGATAGGAGTCTCACGGTCTTTCCTGCCCGGGCTGGCTTTGAACTGTGATCCTCAGATCTCAGCCTCCTGAGTAGCTAGGATTACAGGTGTGAGCCACCAGTGCCCAGTTCCCTTCCTTTAGAAAGGAAGACATGAGCCCCAGTGGTCAGGTGCTAGCCAACAAAGAACAGGCCTGTTGGGTTGGGTGGCAGCCCTTGAAGAAATTGTCAATTTCTCACCTTGAGCAGGGGCATCTCCCGCGCCTGCTGGACTAAGAGATGCATCTCATTGATCTGCTGTCGGACAAGGGGTGGAACTGGGTTGCAGCAAGCTATGATGCCCTGAGGTTCCCTGAGGACAAGGAAGAACACACATAACTTATCAAAAAAGCAGCGCCTTTAAAAGGCTCCCAAGTAAGTGTAGGGACTGAGCAAAGCCAGAGGGCCATGGCCAAGCTGAGGACCATAAAATCAGATTGTGTCAGGGCAGCCTGGCCAGCTATGTGTATGCATGCTCCTTGCTGTAGCAAGCTCCACAAGGATTCCTGATTTGCAAGTGGAAAGAGGTAGAGATAAGCCCCTAGCATTGCTGAGCCTCAATTCTGCAGGGAATTAACATCAAGCTGTGGATTTGTATTTCTGTTTATACTTAATTAACATTATGCTGAGAATCATGAGACTGTAAAAGAGAAGAACTGCAGATGAAAGAAACAGACATTTTCTTTTTTGGTCAGTCATGGTGCTTGAACTCTGGGCCTGGGCGCTGTCCCTGAGCTCTTCAGCTCAAGGCAAACGCTCTACCACTTGAGCCACAGTGCCACTTCTGGTTTTCTGGTGGTTTACTAGAGATAAGAGTCTTACGGACATTTCCTGTCCGGGCTGGCTTTGAACCAAGATCCTCAGATCTCGGCCAACTGAGCACTAGGATTACAGGTGTGAGCCACTGGCACCTGGCTGACATTTTTACAGGTTCAGACTTACCCTGACCTGGACACGAGGCAAAACCCCTAAAACATCCCATTCAGACATTTTCCTTCTTATGTGGCAGCCCTTGGCAAGGACGCTGGATTCCCTGAACTTGCTACCTTCCAAGATGGAGCACTAGTCCTCCGAGTCAACGGAAGGCCTCTACTGATGAAGCAGAGCACACCACTCGGCTCCCACACTTACTTAGGCAGTTCTTCAGCTATCTTTAGCATCATATGGTTTGGCAATACATATCTGAAAGAAAAAAAAATACACAACAGCATCATATCAGATCCAGCTAACAAGTTCCACTAAATGCTACATAATGCGGCAGATAAACAGCCTTCACCACAAGAAAAGAGAAAAGAACAAAGGCCCTATTTCCCCTTAGCAGGGTGGCTCAATCCAGAAGTCTTACCCGTAGCTCTCATCCTCCCTACGAGCAGTTTTGTCCCTCCAGGAAAACAGCAGCTGAAAGGCGGCCAACTGCTGCGAGTTCAGATGCTTCTTCTGCTTCCGATATAGCTCAAGGTAGGACTCATCCGTGAAGAGGGGTTTGACAAATTTCTGCAAAATGTTAGGAAATATCAAGAGCCATGTGGCTGGGTTCACAGTCTAGTGCAGGGTGCTTGCCTAGCATGCATGAGGCCCAGGCAGAGTCTCAGCACTAAACAAATACAAAAACAACGTAACCAAAATTGTGCCCTGAGCTCTTCAAAATGTTTGGCTCTTGCATAAAGTAAGAACTAGAATCAGGCTGGGGTCCGTGTGGCTCTGACCACACTGTACCCTGAGTGTTAGGTCTGTGCGGCTGACAACATCATACCTTAAGGCACAGGTCCCTGCTCCGCTGCCACACCATTTGCAGCTGGGTGGGCTGGTCGTTGCCTCGCTCCCACAGTTCCAGCCTCATTTTGTCGTAAATGTAAAGCAGGTAATGAGTGTCGTCCCGGGCATAGTTGAGCATTTCTTCTGGCAGGGGGCTAGAGTTCCAAAACAGAGGATATGGCTTCCATGACTGCTCCTTTGCAGCGACCCTCCTGTCTACTCAGGGAGTGCATTCTGATTTCAAAGATTCTTTTTTTTTTGGTCGGTAGTAGGGCTTGAACTCTGGGCTTGGGCGCTATTCCTTAGCTCTTCAGCTCAAGGCAAGCGCTCTACCGCTTGAGCCTCAGTGCCACTTCTGGTTTTCTAGTGGTTTATTGGAGATAAGAGTCTTACGGACTATCCTGCCTGGGCTGGCTTTGAACCACGATCCTCAGATCTCAGCCTCCTGTGTAGCTAGGATTACAGGCGTGAGCCACCGGCGCCCGGCACAAAGATTCTTACTGCTCCCTCAAACATTCTTCTCTAGCCAATACCAGGGATACACCAGCATTCCCTGTACCTCAGTACGACAAACCTTCACCTCTTGGGCATATCTGTCTCATCTGTGAACTGGGGATGGGCGCAGCAATGTGGTGTGGCAGAGGACAGCATCCCTCAGCACACCACCTCTGCATGGCATGGACCCAAGGCCCAGTCACAGGAAGTGGTTTTCAGAGTACAAACTTCCTTCTTATATTTGGGCTTAATCATTTTCCTACTTAGAAGTTCTGGTGTGAGGGGAAGGGAAGAAAGGAAGGAGGACTTTCCTGTGTCAGCTGCAGGGCTGAGGAGGAAGCGGGCTGCCAGCAAGCACAGCCAAGTCCCTGCACCTTAGCCTCCTCTCACACCTCTGGGAAGACATCTCACACAACCACCCCCCCAGCTGCAGGCTGATATCAACTGGGCATGCCTTTTCAATCTCTATCTCTAAGAGGCAGTCTACTGCAAATTCCCCACTAGCATCCTAAAATGTCCCATTGTTCTGTACCACAGAACACATCTGGGGGCCCAACGCCATTCATGTCCAGTTCAAACACAGCTGAAGTCTGAACACGTGTCTCCAGGAATGAGGCCAATAAGCCTGCAGCTTTCCTCTGCCACCCACCATTCCTTATCATGCACAGACTGACCGGATCCTCCAGTCGGCTAGCTGGTACTGCTTGTTGGCCTCCACACCACAGTAGAGCCGCAGCAGGTGATCAAGTGAGTGTCGGCCTAGGTTGAGAAGGCGTGCTGCCTGGTGAGTGTCGAACATGTTCACCACATACAACCCGAAGTCTTTCTGCAGCCACTCGATGTCAGAGTCGGCACCGTGGAAGACCTACACACAAAAAACCGTGCATGCACCTCACACCAGCACAACTTACAGCTCTGTTATCAGATACTGGAACCAGAAGCCAGTGGGACTAAGATGTGCATAGTTTTAAATGTTACTATTAATCTGGGATGCAGCCTTAGTTTATAATCTTACTTGCATAGCGGTAAGGCTGAAGCTGCTTCCAGCCACTGACAAACACACTCTTCTACCTTGAGTGTCCTTAGTTTAAGCAATTCTGATGTTGTAGGCTCTTGCAGCAGGTATGAGAACAAAGCAGCTTAGCACACAGAACCTTAGGGTAGGAGCTGAGGCAATTCCTCCCAGAGTTGGAACTGCCCAGCAGGAAGCACTGCGGTCCTGCCTCACAGGTGGGAGCCATTGGTGCTGGCTCACCTTCACAATAGCTGGGTCCGTGAGGCTTTCGTTGAGAATGTACATGTCACTGCGGAGCTCCAGCGTGTCTATGATGAAGTCCTCCGTTCGGGTGGAAATTTGCATCAGGCAGGTCAGTCCTAGGAAGCTCCGGTAAGAGTGATGCTACACAGGGAGACCAAAGGAAGATTCTGTTATAGGCGGAACCCAAAGGCACAATGCCTCTAGTCATGTGAAATAGTACTTATTGAAATGAATTCCAGGAAATGGAAACAAGAGGTTAAAAAAAAAAAGTGCGCTGGTGGCTCAGGCCTGTAATCCTAGCTACTCAGGAGGTCGAGATCGGAGAATCATGGTTTGAAGCTAGCCCAGGAGAAGTCTCTATGAGACTCTTAGCTCTAATTAACCACTCAAAAACCAGAAGTGGCACTGTGCTTCAAAGTGGTAGATAGAGCATTAGCCTTGTGCAAAAAGAGCTCAGGGACAATGCCTGGGTTCAGAGTTCAGGCCTCATGACCCACAACAAAAATTAAATAAAAGTATGGTGCTAAAGTACACAGAAAGAGGCAAGAGTGGAAAAATGATTCTTTAGGCTTTCCTTTTCTTCTTTTCGTCTGGGGTTTGAATGGACCTTGTACGTGGTACACACATACCTACTGCGGAACTACCCTAGCCCTTCCTCTACTGATTTCAAAAAGCCAACTACAGAGCAAAACTACATGATGAGAGAGATTTAAATTATTGCTAATTTTACACTTCTTCAGTAGGTGAGCTCACAGAAAATATAAAAATTTAATTAATTAGAACATACCTCCAAGTCTACGGCAAATTCCTGACAATTTAGGAGCTTCTCATTGAGCTCCACGAGCTGGTCCAGGGAGGAAACAAAGCAGCAGGGTGTTTCTTCTACAGGTCTATATAACTGAATCAGGAAGGTGTATCAAGAAAGAGAGAGGAACATTAAAAATGACTCCCACTAAAATACAAAGTAAATTATGAGTCCAGGGAATGACCCAAAGTCACACCCCCTCCCCCGCCCCCGCGATCATCTGAGGGACATCAAGATTACATGAGGTCATGGTGTGACTGATTCTTCTTTCCATGCCATTCAAGACGCAGTGTAACTAAGGTGGGGAACTCACCTGTGGCTGTGGCTTCTGAAGCACAGAGTCTGGTGGAGTGAAGTGGTCCAGTTCATACTGATAAGGGTGTGCAAACCTGCATAAAAGAAACAAAACAAAAACTTGATGAATCCTGTAATTCCCAAAGAAACCAACTACTCTGATATAAAGTAAAAACAAATGGGAAAAGACCACTGTGACTATCTTCCCTTGATAAAAGCATGGTAACTACAAATAAATCAGAGGATCTTGATCATCCTTATAATATGATCATTAAAACACTAGTCATAGCCAGGTGCCGGTGGCTCATGCTGGTAATCCTAACTGCTCAGGAGGCTGAGATCTGAGGGTCACAGTTCAAAGCCAGCCCAGGCAGGAAAGTCCATGAGACTCTTATCTCCAATATACCACCAGAAAACCAGAAGTGGTGCGGTGGCTCAAGTGATAGAGCACTGGTTTTGAGTTGAAGAGCTCAGGGACAGTGCCCAACCCCAGAGTTGAAGCCCCATGACCACCCCCCCAACCTTAACAACAACACTCTAGTCTTTCATTTTGGGGGGGGGGGGGGGGGGGGGGAGAGGTACCAGTCCTGGGCTTGAACTTCGGGCCTGAGCATTGTCCCTGAGCTTTCTTTGCTCTCCAGCTTTTTGGTAGTTTATTGGATGATGAATATATAATTGGATGATGAACATATAATCCCTTGTGGGTTGGAATAACACAGGTCTCTGTTTGGTGCCGGTATGTAGGGGTTTGAACTCAAGCAACACTTACATGTCCTGCTCAACTTGCTGGGTTCGCTGCTGATGGATGAAATCTGCCAGGGCTGGGGGTACATCCAAGTCCTCAGGACGATCCTGGGGCCGTTCCCGCCTTTCTTTTGAGAGAGCTGGAGACCCAAATAAGACACAATCACACAGGCTGGTGCTGGGAAAACTGGGCAGCCACATGCAGAAACCTAAAAGTGGACCCCAGCCTATCACCATGCACCAACATCAACTCAAAATGGATTAAAGACCTTAACATTAAACCTGAATCTCTGAAACTACTACAGGACAGAGTAGGAGAGACACTTGAACTAATAGGCACAGGAAGGAACTTCCTGAACAGAGTCCCAGGGTCACAACAAGTTGGAGAGAGACTCGACAAATGGGACTACCTTAAAATAAAAAGCTTCTGCACAGCTAAATCTATCGCAACTAAGCTAGAAAGACAACCAACTAATTGGGAAAAAATATTTACCAGCAATATATCAGACAAGGGGTTAACATCCTGTATATACAGGGAACTCAAGAAACTAATCCCTCCCAAACCTAACAAACCAATTACTAAATGGGCAAGGGAACTAAAGAGGGACTTCTCAAATGAAGAAATAAAAATGGCAAAGAAACACATGAGGAAATGTTCATCATCATCCCTGGTGGTGAAGGAAATGCAAAGACAACCCTGAGATACCACCTTACCCCAGTCAGAATGTCCCACATCCACAAATCAGCCAACGACAAATGCTGGAGGGGATGTGGAGAAAGAGGAACCCTATTACACTGCTGGTGGGAATGTACACTTATACAACCACTTTGGAAAGCAGTCTGGAGGGTCCTTAGAAAGCTAAAGATTGACCTCCCTTACGACCCAGTCATACCACTTCTAGGCATCTACCCTGAACAACAGGAACCAATATACAAGGACACGTGCACCTCCATGTTTATTGCAGCACTGTTCGCAATAGCTAGGATATGGAAACAACCTAGGTGCCCCACCACAGATGAATGGATCCAAAAATTGTGGTATCTATACACAATGGAATATTATGCAGCCATTAGAAATGACAAAATAATGGCATTTGCAGGGAAATGGATGGAGCTAGAAGGAATCATGTTGAGCGAGGTAAGCCAAGAACGAAGAGACAAACGGTACATGGTCTCCCTGATAAGTGGATGCTAAATCCAAAAGGTTAGGTGATACGACAAAACTAACAGGACTTAAGAAACAAAGAACTCCCGCTCATCTGGTTGAACCACTACTAAATATCCCCATGCTGCTGATCACAAATATGGTATATAACATGTGAACACTGTTATATATTACAGACTGTGGTAGACAATTTGCTCCAGGGAAGTTAGAATGAACTTGTGACTTTGAAATTATGTAATCATTTAATCACAATCAAAAAAAAAAAAAAAAAGAACCTCGGGGAAGGGAGGGAGGGAGGGGATGGTAGGGGGAAAACAATGGAGGGGGTAACAATGTTCAAGAGGAAGTGTACTCATAACCTCACTCATGTAACTGTAACCCTCTGTATAGTAGCTTTACAATAAAAAAAAAAAAAAAAAAGACACCATCACACAGGGACTGGGACCTCTGTGTCTTTTCTAGTTCTGGAGGGGGAAGGTATCCTTTGCTGGTGGGGAGCAGAATTCCCTTGGATTGAAGGGAAGGCTCAAATGTTTACTCACCCTGAGGGAGGGGCTTCTGAGCATTAGGCTTGATGAAAATTTTAGGAAGAAACGGTGTGTTGGAATTGTCAATTTTCTCTCGAAACTTGAGCTGAGGTCGGATGATGTTTTTTGCATGAAGCAGTCGGAACGTTTCAGATTTTGTTTTTTTGCCATATTCTCCTGCCTAAGATCAATGCATAATACATGCTTTAGCACACAGTAGCTTGGTGAATTAGAAAAATAAGCTCCAACTCGTGTCTTCAGAGGAGACAAGAACATTCCATCAACCATACAATGTAAAGGTAATGAGTGCAATGTGGAAAAAGAAGGTGGAATTAGAGTGTGTCTGTTCCCAACAACAACTCAAAAGGACAGTGGCCAGTTCTGTGTTCATCAAGCTACAATTAGAATGAACAAAAGCCCAGCCATCAAGCTGACAGCAGGGGCTCTAGTTTTCCAAGGCCTCACCTTCCGGTTCCAGCTGGACACTATGGTTTTAGGCACTTGCAAGCCTGCAGGAAGGACAGGCTGCTGATGCTTATTCACGCCTGATGCTTCATCCAGCAAAATACCCTAACAATGAAAGAAGCAATAAGAATCTTTTCGAGGTTAAAAAAAGTTAATTACCTGACACTGTGATCACAGAATTATGACTACAGGAGTAATATACATATCAAAATATAATATACACTATAAACATAAATAGTTTTTGTCAGGGGCTGGGAAGGTGGCTCAGTGGTAGAGCGCATGCCTTGCATGCCAGAGGCCCTGGGTTCGATTCCTCAGCACCACATAAGCAAAAGAAAAAAGCCAGAAGTGGCGCTGTGGCTCAAGTGGTAGAGCGCTAGCCTTGAGCTGAAGAGCTGAGGGACAGCGCCCAGGCCCAGAGTTCAGGCCCCATGACTGGACCCAAAAAAAAAAAAAAAAAATAGTTTTTGTCAGTTCCTCGCGACTCTTGACTGACTTCCTTGTTAGCTCTAAATTGGACTGAAAATCCAAAATGACTTAGAAGCCTTTTAGATATAGGTGTGCAGGGTTGGAAGCAGAGTTTAGCAGCAGTGTTTGCCTAGCATTCAAGAAGCCCTGTCAAGGCAGATTTGGAACATGAGTCTGAACACTACTAGTAGCAGAAGCATAGCCAGGTTACAGCTGACTGGCATACAGGCCCGTAGAGAAGACCTCATGGGTCAGGCAAGATTTCAGTGTCCCAAAGACTGTCACAGGCTGCAGGTCAGGTTTATTTTGGATGACCTCTGTGTATTTCCATAATGTTTTGGTACAGAACTAGGCCTAAATGGATAGTATGCTAGGCAGAATAATATATAGCTTCCTACTACTCCTGTAGGTTCATGTGCTTGTTGACAGTGTGAGTAGTAAAAGCAGCAGAGACCTCCTCCCTCTCCCTCCCTCTCTCTCTCTCATCCTGGGACTTGAACTCTGGACTTGAACTCAGGGCCTAGGCTCTGTCCCTAAGCTTCTCTGTGCTCAAGGCTAGTGCTCTACCACTTGAGCCACAGTGCCACTCCTGGCTTTTTCTGTTTATGTGGTATTGAGGAATCAAACCCAGGGCTTCATGCATGCTAGGCAAGCACTCTACCACTAAGCCACATTTCCAGCCCAGGCCTCTTCTCTTGCAATACAAACAGGATCTGTGTATCTAGAAGATAAAAAGTGTAATCAGACTCATGAAAAACAGGCTTCCACAGTGGGGGGGGATTTTTCTCTTTTCTTTAGTGGTACTGGGGCTTGAACTCAGGGCCTTGGAATTATGAAACAAGTGCTCTTACCACTTGAGCCACATCTACAACCCCATTATATTTTGGACAACTGTAGTTGTTTTGAGTAAGAAAACGTTAACTCACCAGGGAAATATTCTTTCTGGTGGGAAAGGCTAAACTCATTTCATTTTCTAAAGTGCCTGGGTTTCTCGTGATGCACTAACTTGCGTCTCTTCACTTGTTAGTTGGGTGTGTGGTAGCATACTCACCACTCTCTCCAGAATCACGTCATTGGTATCCACTAGTAAGTCAAATTTGTCCTCCAATTCAGTCACTTTACTTCGATCCTTAATGTTACTACGACACCCATGGTACTGCATTACCCTACTCATGCTGAGGGGAAAAAACAAAACAAAAAAACTCAAGGTCAGATTGTATACTTTATTTCATCTGCTTACAGGCTGGGAGAATACTCAAGTGAGTTGACTCAGTTGATTTCTCACATTCTTTGATGAAACTAAAGAAATTTACAGACTTATACCAACCTTCGAGAAACAACACTTGGAGGGAGGGGATGAGGGTACAGCTCAGTAGCAGAGTATATGTGTAGCATGAACAACATCTAGGGTTCCATCCCCAGAATCAAATGACCAACCACCCAATAAATAAATACAGTCTGAGTGGTGTCCCAGGAGCTCATGCCTATAATCCTAGCTACTTAGGAGGTTGAGATCTGAGAACTGAGGTTTGAAACCATCCTGGGCAGACAAATCCTTAAGCCTCTTTTCTCCAATTAAGCATGTAAAAACTGGAAATAGAGGTGTGGCTCAAGTGGTAAAGCACCAGCCTTGAGCATAAGACCCAGAGTTTACAAAAAGCAAAAGCAAAAACAAAAAAACCACGGCCTGTATGTTAATGGCAAGGTTGAATGTAAATCTGAGTTATGATTTTAAAATGTAAAAACAACACATACACCCCCTCCACACACACCCAGTTGTGTGGCCTTGAACAATTCACTAGTCTTATCCAGACTTGTTTTCTTTTTGTCGGTCATGGGGCTTGAACTCTGGGCCTGGGCGCTGTCCCTCAGCTCTTCAGCTCAAGGCCAGCGCTCTACCACTTGAGCTACAGCGCCACTTCCGGTTTTCTGGTGGTTTATTGGAGATAGGAGTCTCACGGTCTCTCCTGCCCGGGCTGGCTTTGAACCTCGATCCTCAGATCTCAGCCTCCTGAGTAGCTAGGATTACAGGCGTGAGCCACCAGCGCCCGGCTGGACTTGTTTTCTTTATCTGTTAATTGTATAAAGAAATTATCCAAATAAAAACTTTTCTTTCTTTTTCTTTGGTTGGTTGTAGGGCTTGAACTCTGGGCTTGGACGCTGTCCCTCAGCTCTTCAGATCAAGGCTAGCACTCTACCTACTTGAGCCACAGGGCCACTTCCAGTTTTCTGAGTGGTTTATTGGAGATAAGAGTCTCACGGACTTTCTTGCCTGGATTGGCTTTGAACCATGATCCTCAGATCTCAGCCTCCTGAGTAGCTAGGATTACAGGTGTGAGCCACTCTGGCCCCGGCTCTTTTCTTTTTGTAGGTTTGAGTCCAGGACTTAAACTTGGTGTGCTTGAGCGCTCTACCAACTGAGCCATGCCTCCAACCCTGACAATGCTTCTTTAAATACTAAAAAAATATGATAGTATGTAAACAATATATGCTGCCTTCGTTGTTTTAATGTGTCAAATCTGGGAGCTTTTCTAATTAGTTACCACATAACAGTTAAAATCTGTTGTGTATTATCTGTCCTAATACACTTTCTTTTTTTTTTGTGCTGGTCTAGTGGCTTGATCTCAGGGTCTGGCCACTATCCCTGAGTTTTTTCGCTCAAAGCCACAGTTCCATTTCTGGCTTTTTGGCGGTTGAGATCCTCAGATCCCAGCCTCTGGAGCAGCTAGAATTACAAACATGAGCCACCAGTGACCTCATACACTTAAAAAAATTATTTTTGGTTATTATAAAGGTGATGTATGCTGGGCGCCGGTGGTTCACGCCTGTAATGCTAGCTACTGAGGAGGCTGAGATCTGAGGATCACAGTTCAAAGCCAGACCAGGCAGAAAAGTCCATGAGACTCTTTTTTTTTTTTTTTTGGTCGGCTGTGGGGCTTGAACTCTGGGCCTGGGCGCTGTCCTTCAGCTCTTCAGCTCATGGCGAGCGCTCTACCACTTGAGCTACAGCGCCACTTCCGGTTTTCTGGTGGTTTATTGGAGATAGGAGTCTCACGGTCTCTCCTGCCTGGGCTGGCTTTGAACCGCGATCCTCAGATCTCAGCCTCCTGAGTAGCTAGGATTACAGGTGTGAGCCACCAGCGCCCAGCTAAGTCCATGAGACTCATCTCCAACTAACCACTAGAAAAACGGAAGTGGTGCTGTGGCTCAAGCGTAGAGCAGTGGCCTTGAGCTGAAGAGTGCAGGGATAGTGCCCAAGCCCAGAGTTCAAGCCCCAAAACCGACCAAAATAAAAAAAAGTGATGTATAGAGGAGTTATAGTTTCATAATAAGGTAATAAGTACATTCCTTTCTGGACAATGTCACTCTTTCCCAGTTTTTACTAAAAAAGAGAGTACACTTTTTAAAAGTTAAACTAAAATTTTACTAAGTAGCATTTCTCTAATGAAAATATTTTATATCATTTTCACATTCTATTATTGTTTATAGCAAAAACATGTTTCAGGAGAGCAAATTTAGGCCAAATTAGCTTCCTTTTTATGTATGTTCACTTCTTTCACTAATATGGGGCAATGATATACAGTACTTACCACTGGAGCAACCTGTCTCCCTGTGTTTCACAAAATGCCTGGAAGCCAGGAAAACTTCGGTAAAAGTCATACTCATCGCCAAACTGTGGTAGGCCTCCAGAGGCCTTAGTGACCGCCACCACAGAGCTAAGAGCAAACTGTCAAAATCCAGAAAAGAAGGCACATATTTAAACATGGATCTCATTCATTCAGCAAATCGATTTTTTAAGGGTGGGGGGGAAAATCTATTTGCGTATATTGTTGGCTACATCAAGTGCTAAATACATCCAATCTACATCCATCCAACAAACATTCAGAGTGAGTCTACCTAAGTTCCATTCCGGGCCCCGAGGGTTCAATGGTGAACGCAAAACAAAGTTTGGAGCTAAAATTCTCTCTCTCCCCTTCACCCCCCGGCTTTTTATGCAAGTACTGGGGCTTGAACTCAGGGCCTGAGGGCTGTTAGCTTTTCTGCTCAAGGCTGGTGCTCTACCATTTGAGACATAGCTCCACTTCCAGCTTTTTTTCCTGCCCGGGCTGGCTCCGGAGCTTTGTAAGGTTATTTATGCACGAGGTTAAGACCTGGATCTACGTGTGTCCATGGTTAAAGCTGAAGAACAGAACCCGGTTTCTCCGAGCGGGTACAGAAGGCTGGGAGGGAGCCGGGGTGGCGGTCGGGCCAGGGTGCGGGGTTCCGGAGGACTGGTCGGCGGGGGCCCGGGCCGAGGCCCGGGAGGAGCCTGGGCGGCCGGGCCCCGCGAGCCCCGGAAGCCCCGGCCTGGTGGTGGCGCTGCGGCCGACCCCGCGAGGCCCCGGGCCGGCTTCCGGCCAGGACGGGCGGCCCCCGGAGCCCGCTGGGTCCCCGCAAACTCACCTTCACGAAGCTGTCTGCGTCCGGGAAGCCGGGCAGCACCATCTCCCCGTCGGAATCTGTCGCGCTGGTCGCCGACGAAGCTTGGGGATCCCGAGGGCTGGGAGGCGCCATCTTTCCAGTCCGCAGAGTTCGTCTCGCGAGAGCGCGCCGGCGCGGGTCCCGCGCAGCACGCATGCGCGCTGGGCGTCCTGGGGCGCCCGCGGGAAGGGGTGGGAGCGCGGAGAGCGGAGCGCTCTTCCCCACCCAGGGCCGTGCGGGATTAGCTGGGATTACCGGCGTGCCGCTGGGCGGGCCGGGTGGTTCCCGCCGGTAAGCCCCGCTACTCCCGGGGCTGAGATCTGGAGGAGGAGTCCCACGGCCGTCGGAGGTGTGGCTCACGCGGCAGAGTGCTGGCCTGGAGCCGGGGACGCTGACACGCGCAAGGGCGACTCCGCGCGGTCCCCGAGTCATCCACGCATCCTTCCTTCACACAGGTTACCGAAGCCACTCAGGACCGCAGGGTCAGACTGTTCTGCAGGACCTCCGTCGCGGCTCCTCTGCGTTTGGTATTTCATCACCACAAAGCTACACTTGGCTTAGACAAAACTTAAAATTTGTCATGCTAAGGAATCTGAACGACCTGATAGTCACCATTTTTTTTCCCTTCAGTGTACTCATTCTCTTGGTGTTATCTTCCGTAAAGATAACTTCACTGCAGGCATTTCATCTGGAACCAAGGACATTATGTTGATCCTTTTCTTTTTTTAGGATAGGTAATAGGTGATAATATAGGCTGTAGAGAATCTTAAGATAACTATGAGACCTTCCAGGTATATTAGAATTATTGTTATTATTGCCATTAGGATTTAAAATAATCTTTTTTGGGGGGGCAGTGCTGGGGATGAAACTCAGGTAGCAGTTAAGATGTAAGAGAAGGAAATACAATATGAAAGATGACCTTGTTCAAAGTACTGTGTACATCCATAGATGAATAGAATGAGCACAAGATCCTGTATATTAACATATCCTAATAAAAACTAGTGAAAGAAAAATATAACAGTGGGTAAAGAAACATAGGAGAGTGGTGCATGGCTATTAGTACATTGATCTACCTACCTACCCATATGAGTGCGCATGTGCATGCTAGTACTGGGGCTTGAATTCAGGGCCTATGTGTTATCCCTTAGCTTGTCAGGGCTGGCACTCTCCTGCCTGGACTGGCTTTAGATGACAGGCTTAAGCCACTAGTGCCTAGGTAGTCTTTTTTTTTTTTTTTTTCCCCCAGGGTCTGGGCACTGAGCTTTTTTGCTCAAGATTAGTTTTCTACCATACCACTTGAGCCATAACTCCATTTCTGGCTTTTTGGTCTCACACTTTCTTGCCTGGACTGGCTCTGAACTATGATTCTCAGATCTCAGCCTCCTGGGTATCTAGGATTACAGGTATGAAGCACTGGTCCCTGGCCAGTCTGGCTTTTTGATTGTTAATTGGAGGTGGAGGTTTGCCTGTTTTTCTGCTGCCCCAGCTAGTTTTGAATGGATGCCTGGCAAGATGTGTATAGTTTTAAGTCCTGGATTTCCTTGTTGTTCCCTTTATTATCTATTGACCACCAAGCCATACATGCTGAGCCATGAAGCCTACCCATAAGATTTGGTGGGTGGGTTTCTTGCATGCTTGTGTGCTGCAGGTCTCAGACTTTTAAATCTTGGTGCTGGGTGATTCCTTTGTTGCCAGGAACGTCCCCAGTTGCTTCATGTGCCATTCCTTAAAATTCATCCCAAGTGGCCTCTTTCCTTGAGGTTCTCCTGGGGTGCCAGGGAATTATCACTTCTACCTGTGGGCTCGCTCCTTTCAGTACTTTGGGGTTGGTGGCCTCTGTTCTGTGTGCGGTAGGCCATCTCTATTACACTGTCCTTGTCTTCTCTGTAGTCCCTAGTAGTAAATATTAATAACACTGAAGGGTGTGCCTGTACGCACAGTATAGTGCTGGGAACAAAACCTAAGACCTTGTGGAAATCAGGCAAGTAGTCTACTGTCCCTTTTAGAATTTTTGTCAGTTTGGGGTGGGGAGGGAGGGGGTGGCTTGAACTCAGGGCCTGATCACTGTCCCTGAACTCTTTTGCTCAAAGCTAGCACTCTACCTCTTGAACCATAGCACCATTTTCAGTTTTTGAGTGGTTAATTGGAGATAGTCTCATGGGACCTTTTTGGCCCAGGCTGGTTTCAAATTGTGATCCTCAGATTTCAGCCTCCTGAGTAGCTGGGATTACAGGTGTGAGCCACCAGTACCCAGTTTCCCTTTTAGAATTCATTAAAAACTATGAATTAAAACTCAGTCATGTGCATGTTTTTAAAATTCTGATGTCATTTATTGGCACAAAAACGATTCTGATACAACGTGATGTCTAGACGACACTGCCCCTATACTTTGTGCATGTAGTTGAGTACTTACTTCCTGACGGGCCCCACCTGTTCCAGTAAATCTCCCTCCGAGTTCAGCTCCTCCAGGGCGGACCTTGTGCTCAGAGTCCCTGCTCCGGGCATAGTGCTCAGCTCTTGCTGAGCACAGGACCGGAGTGGGCTCCACTGTGCTATGAGCCCCTGTACCCCTTTTGGTGGGGAGATCCTGCACTGAAGGGAGTCGCAGCATCTCTCAGTCAGTTGTCACCCATTTTGGCCCATCCTCCAAATGCTGCTGCTGTCCAGGGACACTGAGGTAAGAGGGTGGGCGGAGCACTGAAGGCCGCTTCTCTTCTTTACAGTCCAGGATCGACTGTGCTGAGTCTGCTGTGCCCCGCTGACAGGGATGACCAGGCTGGTCTGTCAGTGAGTGCTTACAACGAGCTCTCTTGAGTTAAGTCAAAACCCGTATTTCTAAGTTATGGATCTTCTGTTCCCCCCAAATCAATGGCTTGATGTATGTAGTATTATTGTGTTTCACTGTCTGGGAACATAATCAAGCCTTGTGTTTCTGACCTTATCTTCTTCAACAGCAGCTAGAAAGTTGGTTCAAACCAACTTGGAGTATACAGTAGTTCTTTTCATTTACATTTCAAAATGTTTAATTAGGTTGAACTTTCTGACCACAGTTTCAGTTTAGTGGAAGCACAGACCAAAGTATGAAAGCCTCAGAGGAGACGCTGTGGCATGCTGGGGCTCCCGCTACCAGAAGGGACACCTAGGAGGACAGACAGCAAAGGAACAGTTTAGCAAGCTGAGCCTCTTCACAGCTCTGCCTACATCCCACCGTCCATCTGACAGCCCTGAGACTTCTTCCCTGAGCTTCCCAGCACTCAGTGCGACATCTCCTGTGGAGGGCTGGCGCTGATGAGATCCCTCAAGGACACTTTCTGCATCTCCTCTCTCAAGTTTCTGCCTCTAAACATGCCTCAGCAATCAGTTATGGGATGCCTGGGGTCCTGAAGGCTAGACTCTCAGATCATCTGTCTCTTCATCTTCCTCTCTGTCACTGATCTGGGGTCTTTTCCTATGTCCTTTTTGTCTCTAAAGTATAACAAAAATCTTGATGAAACCTCACAAACTAACAGGCAGTCTATTCTAAGCCATTGCTTTTAATGCAACTTTTTTTGGGGGGGTGCCATTTCTGGGGCTTGAACTCAGGGCCTGGATGCTGTCCTTGAGCTTTTTTTTTTGCTCAAGGCTGGAGTTCTACCACTTGAGCCATTGTTCCACTTCTGAGTATTTTGTTCCCTGTGCTGGCTTCATAGGGTGACCCTCAGATCTCAGTCTAATGAGTAGCTAGGAGGACAGGTGTGAACCACCGGCATCCTGCTTCTTGATGCAGTGTTAACTGAGTTTTGTGTTTGTCCTCCAAATTTGTATTTCCTCCCCTGTGAGACAAGAAGTACAGCTGGTGAGCATGAGCTCTGCAGCTCTAACTGTCCTGGGGTTACTCGGGCCAGCTTTGGCTCCAAGGTTGGGAGCAGGGCTGGGTCCTCACTGCTGATGCACTCACCAGCCAATGTAGCACTGGCAGAGGTTTTCATGGGATGTGGCTTGTTTAATGAGCAGCTCTACTTGTGTTGGAACATCCAAGGTATCATCATGAGAGAAGTCTCGACCTGGGGAAGAGAAGTGTAAACACCTGTACCTGCTACCACCAACACATTCCTAGTTTCTTCTGGTCAACTTTCTGTCCTGGGTAGGTTGGTACTCTACTGCCTGCGTGTGCCTGGTCGGGGAGGTCTTGTGTTGAAGGGCAGCTCTGGAATGGGGGTCCTTTTTCCAGGATAGTTTCTGAGCACATAGCGGTATAGGTGCTTATCAATGTCACTTAACTGAAAAACTAAAGGCATGGCTGGGAAGGTGGCTTACTGCCAGAGTGCTTGCCTAGCATGCATGAAACTGTAGGTTCGATTCCTCAGCACCACATAAACAGAAAAAGCCACAAGTGACGCTGTTGTTCAAATGGTAGAGTGCTAGCCTTGAGCTGAAGAGCTGAGGGGCAGTGCCCAGGCCCAGAGGTCAGGCCCTGTGAGCGACCAAAAAAAAAAAAAAAAAGTGAACTCCATGTAAAATTGGTCACCAGCAGGAGAAGCAGAGGGGGAGCCTGAGACACTCCATGAGCCATAGGAGGCTGAAGCCCAGACACCACCCCGGACACCACCACCGGAGATGGGGCTGACCACCCACTCCAGGGGAGAGCAGCTCCCCTCAGATGTCTTGTACCAGAAGTGCACCTGAACAAACATACGTACCCGTGAGCTTGTCTCGAACCCTATTAATAATCTGGATAGCTTTCTTATTAAGGGCTTCGGGTTTCACCAAACCGTCTCCAACTGGAATGCACAAGAGCAGAAATAGCAGCAGGATTAGCTCACCACCACAGGTTCTATGGGGCCCCTGCTTGTCTTATCCATCATTTTCGTGGATGATGACCAGTCCTCCTTTGTGCCCATCTTTGTCCTCAGAATACAAGGAGAAATTCATGGAACCTCTCTTCTCACAGGCAGATTTGTTACCTCATCTTGTTGAACCCTACCCTTCCCCATTTCAACACGGCAGCTCCTTTCTCTCTCTCTGTTCTTTTTGTTGTTGTTGTTGTTGGTCTTAGAGCTTGAACTCGGGGTTTGGGCGCACTGTCCTTAGCCTCTTTGTGCTCCAAGCTAGCAGCTATTT